TCTTACGTCATAGTACATCCTATAAGGTAACGATTACTCCTCAGTATTGAGATTCTGGTAACATTTATAGTCATAAAAGATAAGTCAGTGAAAATTTCCTTTTCAACAAGTCATCTTCAAAAACTATACATCGTAATCATAGTTAGAAAGAAATATATATTCATCAATAGCTAGTTGGTCAATAGAAAGTCATGGAAAACGGTCAAGAAATCACAAGGTGATAATGGCTGAAAGGTCACCTGAAGGTCATCGAAAACTACTTAGACGACTACAGTAAATAAACAAGAAATGAATAAACCGTCTTAAAATTACCATCAACGCAAAATTATAGACTGAATGTATCTCTTTTCAACCCAAAGACCAGATTTGTTCCACTGTATTGGCACATTCTCTGGTGTGTTAAGATGATGAGTACGCGCTCCCTTCGAAATGTTTGACTTTGGAGGAAGACTTTTGTGAAGCACAGGGACTAGAGTTAACTACATGCTCAAGAATCGAGCTGTTGATGGCTTTACACTGTCCTTTAGATAACCATGCAGGATAGTGCTTGGAGATGCACTTGGATAGAACCCGTTTTATACGGCCTATGTAACCGGGTTTATAAGAGCTGGTGACTTGGTGAACACACATGAAGGTGGTCTTAAGCGGTAGTTCACCCTTTAAGAATCCTCGAATCAGTTGTTGACTACAGAAAACAATCCGAAGCTGAGCGGAAAAGAAGGTCCTCTTCAGTGCTTCGCGAAGCCAATTCTTCAGTATCTCTCTTGAATCTTATGTTCCCAAACAGTATCTTATTTAGAAGCATGTGGGGTTTCTTCGTTAAAATTTTAGCCCTGATGTTCCTCTAAAGGAATTTTGAAGGATAACCATTTTCAATGAACACTGTTTAAGGTACTTCCAGCTCCTTACTTACTGAATCATCTGTGCAAATTCTTCTAAGTCGTTTAGATAGTGAATGGATTATATATCTTTCCCTGACTAATGGAACCCAGCTTTGTGAAGCTTGTCACATAGGCCACACAGAGCATGTTATATCCAAACGCGTCTCGCATGGTCATCAACAGCTCTGTTCTTGAACATTTGGTAAACTCTGGTCACGTTGCTCTAAGAGAATCTTTCATCAAAGTCATTTATGAGGTGAAGTCACAAAATTCGAAGGGAGTGTGTATTCGCCACCTCAGCATAGCAGAGGCTTTGGCAATTCGGCAGAAATAACCTGATCTTTGCGTTTAAAAGAGATAAATTCAATCTCTAATTTTGCGTCAGTGGTAATCTCCTTAAGACAGTTTATTCATTTTCTTGTTTATTTACTATAGTCGGTTAAGGAATCTTTAATGAACTTGAGTTGACTTTCTGGCTGTTATCACCCTGTGATTTTTCGACCGTTTTTCATGACCCACTAGCTATTGATGAATATGTATTTCTTTCTATGATTACGATGTATAATTTTTGAAAATGATTTGTTGAAAAGGAAATTTTCACTGACTTATCTTTTATTAACATTTATATTGTTAGCTATAGGCTTCTGAAGTTTTCTTCGTATATATCATAATGATTTGAGCATCTACAAACTGTTCGCTTCCAGGGGAAAACTTTTGTTGGGTGAAATACACTGTGAACTATTGCATATATTCAACACCAAATTAATAACGTTAGCTTCAGTCTTTTTTTTGCTGGCTGCATTCGAATCAGTTGGTACATTTACAGATAATCAGCTGGATAATTACAATCTTAATTGATTATTGTCAGTATAACTCAGAAATGAAAGAGTTGACATAATTGTAGGGGACATGTACTTTGACTAAAAGATATCGGACATCAGGTACCTAAAAAACCAACTAATTTAAATAATTTCCAATTTATTATATCGAGGATGAACTAGTAAAGTAGAACGCAACAAGTACTGATCTAACAACTGGAGTTGAAAAGAAAACTCTAGAAAATGGTTTTTTCGTTTTCTACACCATCCATCACTTAAATACCAGTGGTTAAAAACACCTTAAAAAGAATGAAAACTGGAGAATAAGTTACTTATGTGAAGGTGAGGTGTTGAATATCAAGGGACCTTGAGACTTTTGTTGTGCACTGTAGAACGATGATGATCCTTCAGTTGTGATACACCTAGTGTTTGGTAGCTGGAAGCGAATGACCAGAAGCTGTATCGAGACACCAAGTCATGTAGTTCAGTATTTACATAATTTTCAAACAGCATTAAGGGCTAGGGAGTATGTGACTAACTACTATTTGGTCGCTGATAAGCGTGAATATAACCACATCGGTCGACCACTAGGTGTTCACCGATGTTGCTGTAACGCCTCACAAGCTGATCGAAGTCTGTGGCTAACGTTTGCATTGTGGTCATTAAGTTTGGCGCTAGAGATGAAGTAACTTTTAAAATCCGACGGCATCAGTGGTTACTTGCATAATTCAGTCGTAAGTTTACTGATATCAACACTATTTGACACAGGTTTCACTTTCAAAAGAAATATCAGTTTCTGCAAGTTTGCGAACACGTCCGTTTGTAAGTGCAGAAATCCATATATATATATATATATATATATATATATATATATATATATATATATATATATATATATATATATATATATTTGTACACACTTCAATTTATCAGTAAGATGAAAATGAATTTTTCCCCTTTTGATATTCATTTCAGGTTGGTATTCATCATGGACTGATATCATTTGGAGAAACACTAGGAACTTGGGAGGACTGGACAGCTGTTTCGTCCTATTATGGGACTCCTCAACAGTGCACACTCATTACCATGTCAGAAATCAAACCCAAGAACTTCAGTTTCCGATATTTAATCAAATATTGTAAGACAACATAATCATAACTTTGTGGTTTGTATTATTGAACACAGATGTTTTGAGTGGATTGGAATATAATCCTTCAAAGACTGACACTAACGACTAACATAAAACTGATCAGATCCCGCCTAAAATCAGTATTAAACACTTACATTTCTGATGTACATGGTAAATTTTGTCCTAGAGTGTATGCAGTTACTACTCTTGTTTAAATCATTTGAAGTAACAATTCCAGAGATTTCTTATACTCATTTTTATCACCTACTTGAAGTCACAACGCTTAAAATACGTTTCCCGAAACTTACCCATCCAAGTTAATTCTATGGTATCATGAGGCTGAAACCCCTAAAATACTGGTTGTAACTCTTTTTCATACTTGATTACATCAGTAGTATGACTTTAGGTGAAATAAATTTTCAAAGTGCAACCCATTTTACCAGGTACGTAATCTTTCATTTACTAAAACCTTAGCACATACCTCCTAGGCAAATATGCCCACGGAAGAAAATAATTCAGTTACACGAACATTCACATTTTTATTAGTAAATATTACAAATGATACATTATAATTGGCAAAAATATATAAAAGTATGGAACATTGGCTCACATAATCAACTTTCAATTGATGGGTCATAGGTTCAAAACTCTGATGGGCTTACTTAGTCCGAGTAGCCTGATAGTATCATTAGGCTTCATGCAATAGTTGTGGCCCATTATGTACTACGTAAACCTGCAAGCAGTTACTGAGTTACATAGTGTTAATATGTGTCCTACACATAGAATAACGAGTAGATAACAGGAAATCTGGTGTTATAATGATACATAAACCAGAAACATAATTATTACAGATATTTAGCGGTTACAGAGTGAAAATAAATTAACACAATCCCTCTTCATAGCAAACGTCAAAAAAAATTTATTCGAATGGAAGAGTTTGACTAAACTGTCGGTTATAAATTAAAAACTGTACTACCAGCTTTGACTAATTTAATAGTGTGATGAACATTTACGACGCATAAGTTGTTATTTCGTTTGGTTTTGGTGGGGGAGAGGGGGGGGGGCTATTTACTCCTGATTTCACTGACTTTACCAAGATTCCTATCAATACTATTTTATTCTGTGCAAAACCTCCGAGAGAATAAACCATTTATTGTTCCCACTAAACGTAAACTGAAGAATACAATAGGCATCTAATTTAACCATTATCAATCATTCTATGAATTGAACTCCATTCTTAAATTTCTGTTCAAGATGAATTTTTGATAGGTAGTAGCCTAAATAGAAATCAACATTTTAAGTCATCAGTCACTGAGCTGGAAGTTTTGGATTTCAATTTTCGTTTCACGTTACTGCATGGTCAGGAAAAACCATATTGAACAATTTATCGTACAACCGACCAATCAAAATAAGTTGTTTACTTTTGATCTGGTGGTCTTATATATTTCTGAAAGCTGTATGTAAATGATGCATTTTTGTCAAATGAAGTGTCTTTCTTACAGTCACAGGCTGATATTTGCCTTCTGGTTTTTGCGGCTCAGTGAAGTACAAGGTTCTAAGAGATAACAGTCACTATTCGTATTCAGTTGAAGTGCCTGATAGCCTTAATTTCATTCGCGTATTTATTATTACTCACTCGGTCACTTCACTTTTGTTCTTCATAATTTCTTCAATCAGTTTTCGGTTTGCTGACAATCAGCATGACAAGTAATTGTCTTTTTCGACCACCATAAACCTTAAGAATGCACCGAATAACACATTGGATGCTAGTATAAAATGAGTAACACATAAAAATCGTGGTAAGCTGATGTAAAAGGATTAAGAACTTAATAGTCTTCGACAAAATTAGGGTCTTGAAGCTACGATACTGTGAGTTGTCAGTACAGTGATCAAAATTGTTATCTTTTCTTCAGGTGCAATAGTATCAGCCAAAGCAGATGGCTAGTCTAGATGAGAAAACAGCTAATAAATGTAGACACAAGAGAGGAGAAGAAAAAAAAACGCAATTAGACACCTTGTGCACATCCGTGCAGTAGGCAACGAGCTACATCTAGTGTTTTAGGGCTAGTAATACTATCTAGTTGCCCAGATCTCGGTAAGTGAAGTGGAGTTCGAACCCATGAACCACTGGTAGACAGTACCTTGGATTTATATATGGTAAATACCTAAAATCAGAACGAGAATATGTATAATTCACAAAAAATTCCTAGTTTGACAATATGTTTTATTTTACAGTTCTACCACACAGCATCTATTTGAAAATATTTACACAGTACGAAGAAAAGTAATTAAGTGTATCATGACAACTTTAGGTTGCCGCCTATTTTCTTTGAGCGATTCTTTACTGAACTTTTCCAACTATCTAGCGAGCGTGAAGCAATTTTCGACTTAGTTAGTTCAGATTTTTGACTAGAAATATGCGATGAGGAATCGATTGTAGTTGCTGCTGACACTGAGATTGAATTACTAGAGGCAGGAATTGATTGAATAACTTCATTAGTACCCTGAGAATTTGGATGGCAATGTTGTTGGTGCTCTGAAGAATTGGATGCATGTATAGGTAGTGTAGCTGGTGGTGGTAGTGATTCTACTCGAACAAGTACAGATTCATCTGAAGCTCCAGCATTTGCACTTAGATCCCAGTGTGAGCCTAAACTGTCGATTAAACTAGGATGAGCATGTATACAGAAGATTCTATCATTCTGACGTACAACTGTACCACTGCTGATTGTATTGGCAACTTGACACTGGGGAAATCGAATACAGAATTCACAATGGAAATAATCACCTTTAAGTTGTGCAACCTTTTGAGTAGAAAATATTGAACCAAGCTTGGTGAATTGACCATTACGTATTGTTTCTGGGCATATTTCATTAACATTAACAGCAATTTCAACAGCTTTTATACGACATAACAAGGCTTGTCGACTACGTTGTTGAACAACACCCATAACTTGAACCATATGACATACATCACTACTTATGGTAAGTATATCATCCGGATTACTTCCAGCTTTAGGCAAGAGAACAAGACGTACAGTTGTAGTTTGTAGGCGGTGAAAAAAGAATCTTGGCCAATGTGATGCTACTTGGACAAGTTTAAAAATCAAAACTGGAATCCATTCACGTATAGATGGTGTATTACCGTCAGGAAAATATTGTATCATAGATACTTTGAGTAAAGATACAGCTTTACCATATGGATCTGATTCATATGTATGATTTGAATTTATCTCAGATCCTGAAGAAAAATATTCTCTAAGGCAGAATGATCTGAAATGAAAAAAAAAATTGACGTTAAAACTATAAATAAAAACAATACTGTGAAAAATGTTTATTTGCTTTTATTGATCAGTTACTGGAGAATAAATAATTTCGTGTTGATCAGTCTTCAGTGCTGATCGACTTTTATTCCTCATTTTGTAATATGATTACAAAACTAGGAGACTTGCCATCATGGTGTACTTTCGATTGGTATTAAGTAGTTAGCAGCTTGACAAAAACTTCATACTTATCAATGAAAAGAAAAGAAGCTGATTCCGAAATCAACAGTGAAGTCCTAAACGACAGATTGTTGTAAACGATTCAAATTATTATTATTATTATTGGTCCCTTGGGTTCCTAGTGGAACATAGGGCTTCAGTAGCACGTCTCCAGTACAATCTGTTCTCTGGGATCTTTTGAACCTGGCTCCACGACAGCCCAGAAGCTCTCATTTCCTCCTCGCACGACCTCCTCCATGTCACCCTCGACACCGACGCCCAACTCGTCGCTTCCCATGGGGATTCCACTCGAGGGCCTGGCGCGTGATGTCCTCAGTCGGCCTTCTCAGTGCATGCCAATCCATCTCCACTTCCTCCTGCATATTTGTTGCGTGATAGGTTCTTGGTTGGTTCGTTTGAATCGATAAAACGATCCAAATAACACACCTTATACAGTTATTGAATCAAGCAACAACACTAGCTGTATAGTTATGGATATACATCCAAATAGAGACCAATGAATTCAGTCCAATATAATAAATGTAAACAAAAACAACCTATCACTTATGATCGGTTTCATGTGCATAAATCAGTTCAAGTGCTTTCATGGAGCTAGGTATATTGGTCATACTCAAAAACATATTAAGGTAGACAAATATGTACGACAGTAGAGGATATAAAACGATGACGGTTAATGAAAATGTTTAAGCTTTAGAATGTATAAAAAAGTGAATAAATCTGAGGTCTAGTGACTAATTTTCAGTCATCACCGAAGGATTCCTAACCATTGATTTATATGATGTCGATGATTTTAGTCAGGTAGTCTACACCTTACTAAATGATCCACACCAACAGCCACTTCTTGATCTAGTCATCCTGAGTCTTTTTTTCAGCACAGTCCTACTTCAGCTAACATCGCACAACGAGGTAGGCAGTGGTTCGGGATGGGCAACACATATCCAAGCTAACTCACTCGGTGAAAGGTTCACACCTTTCTTACCTAGTATTCTATGTCTAGTACACGGTATACTCGTCCTTTAATAGGTAGTTCGATAGGGGAAACACAACTTCAGGATATTACTTTATATATTATGACAGAACCTTCTCAAAGGGATTAAAAGTATCCAATTTATATTGAGGAAACTTTAGCAATTTTGAAATAAACAATAAGTTCACATGTTTGTAATAGAAATTTTCACTGATTCAGCTTATTTACCTCTCCCAACTTAACGATACTTTAAATCAACGAAGTTTTTTATTTGTTTTCTCATCATGGACAACTTCACTTCGGATAATCACTTTTCATTTCATTCCTTAATCTCTCCATCAATCCTAAAGGTCGATATAGTACGGAGGAGAAAGAAATTAATCACTGGATTCTTGTTCATTGAATCAATACATACAATAAAAGTGATGCAATACCCACTCCAGATATATGCAGAATCTTATTACCACTGAAATCATGAAATTGACATATGACAAAAACATAAGAACCAGTTATTAGAAGTTGTATGAATATTAGGAAATTGTACTGGAAACGTCATAATACTGGATCCTTGTGTTCCATATCAAATAGACTTACTCAATCAGTGACTCCTCTTCTCAACTTAAGATCGTTATGGATTGGGGACGAGATGATTTAGCTAGGAAGGTAGTGTGAAGACGAATGGGATCTTGAAGATCAGCGATTCACACAATAGTAGAGTCGAATAGAAATCTACAATTAACAATTAGCAGAATGTGAGGATTGTTGTTCTGAATCCTGCCAGAGTCAAGGTTTCCTGTCAACCAGTTTATCTCAGTATCTATTTCGCTATTCAGTTTTAGTGGGAGCAACATCTCTCACCAGGAGGTAAGTATATCCAGTTGACGAGTCCAAAATGGGACGAAACACCCGTCCTGGATTCCATTGCTATCTTTCATGAAAATCTTAGTATTTGCTTTGAAATGTAGACATTGAGTAGTTCTACATTTAATAGTAGAGATCGATAAAAAAATTCTCAAAAGAAATATTTATTATCTTACTGCTGTCATAGTTAGTAAGTTGAATCATTTCACAAAGATAAACCTTTTGGTGTATTAAAAAAGAGGGAACTGTAAACAACATCGAAAAATTTACTTACCTTGAAGAATAGCCCGATCCATCAATTAGATTAAGGACTTCAGTAAAAAACTCAACCAACTGCGTTATTCTGTTTTTCGTCATAAATAGGAAATCAGGAAATAAGCCTTGGAGAAATCACATTACTAAAATTGAATTAATGGTGTCACCTATAGACTTGAGAACCATAAATAGATATGAGCAATTTGGAATTTAGTATAATTGCTTGTATTATTTATACCGCTGTTGATTGGACCGAATTGATCGATCTCTATTGGCATATGGGCTCTTGTGCCGATACCACGATATTACCTGTGTTTTTCAGTTGTAGTAATGATGGATAGTTGCTAATAGTAAAATCCAGGATGGGCATTTCGTCCTATTTTGAACTCGTCAGCTAGATGTACCTGTCTCCCAGTGAGTGATGTTGTTCCCACCGGGATTCAGACTCGGGAGCGATTACTTCAAACACCAAAGCGTTATCCACTACACCACCAATCCACTTCTTGTGCGACGGGTATAGTTTTAGTATAACTGCTTATTGTTATTATTATTACTATTACTGAAAGACTTTCAACCTCTCGGAGTTCCAATGAAAAGTAGTGACCGGTGGAGTCAACCAAGTCGAACATGAGGACAGTTAACCAACGACGACATCGGATGTCAGCCTATGATGAGTTCCAACCTGGAATCAATAAATCCCCACAAACCTCGAAATTGAATTAATTCATATTCACTTGTAAATGAGAAAGATTAGACACATGTTCTCATGGTTTAATCATCAAAAAGAGATATCGAAATAATAAAGGTGCAAGGAACAAGATTCATTAGTCGCGCGCATCAACATGCAGCTACGTGTTCTTATACTAGAATATGTGCCATAACTACTGTGTAGGAGTTGGATGCAGCTGTGTATTCATTGACTTAGGCATTCGACGTCTAGTTGGTCGGTTGTGGATTCATATCTCGTTTCACTTACAGAAGTTTGGCATAACAGGTAGTATTATCAGCTTTCATACGCTTGAAGCATTCAGGTACTAAGTTGCATGTGACCTATTCTGCTAATTAAAGGATAACTGGTTAAATCATGAGCTATAAGTTTGCTGTTTTCAATACATGTTCAATGAGGTGTACAGGAATGAAATATTTAAGTGAATTTTTAGTTGATCTTCTAACTAATCAAATAGGACTTTATAAGTGTGAACAGATAAATTAGATATTCTCATAATTATTCTCGATGGATCGAAAGCAGAAAGCCCAACTATCTAGTGAAGCTCAAAATATGATACACATTTATGCAATACACCATGCATCTCTTTTTATGTGTAAGGAGTTATGGTATTATTGCGTCATATCCAGACCAAATGAGATAAGTTTTGAACTGATAACCAAAAGTCTACAGCTAACTAACACAGTCAAGTAACTAAAACTTATTCATTATCATAAGAAATATACAATCTACAGACAATATTAAAAACTGCAAGAAGAATTTCAACTAATCAAGTGGCTATCATGGTTCGGTGGTGTAGTGGTTAACGCTCTCGCGTTTTAAGCGATCGCTCCCGAGTCCGAATCGTGGTGAGAACAACATCACTCACTGGGAGGCAGTTACATCCAACTGACGAGTCCCAATAGGACGAAATGTGCATCCTGGATTCCAGTGCTAGCCACTATCCACCATTACTATAATCGAATAATATCTACATAATAACGGTTATTCGATGAAATCCATGCAAAAAGAAGAGTGAGGAATCTAAGACTTGAAAAGAAACCAGTGCTTCTTACTTCGGATTTCAAAAGAGATGTTGATAAAAGAATTAGGAGTAGACTGTCTAGGGACTATCCAGATAGGAAACTTGTCTCACTGTATCAAACAACATATGCCGGAGAAATGTTACAGCCTGTATCTCAGAGATTTCTCTTTACTGAATAGTAAGTACAATAGCTCATCACTTATTTGATACGGTACACTAAAAATACTAACTAGTTAAACTCTCATTTATTAACTATTTTTCAAATAGAGTAATTCAATCACTTGCACAATTAGACAAATTTCTGAATTCTTTCCTGAAATTTTTTCATTAAAACTGTGATGTTACTAGTATTGCATCAATCCGATTTCTAAGAAGTTGCTAGATCAAATGGGACACCAAAATCGTAATAGAAAAGGATACGCTTCTAAATGTCGATGTGTTTCCAGGTCAGCATCCAAACATTGAGCACGAAGCTTAGAAATTTCTTGTGATAAATCATTCCACGACTCAACACAGCTTGACAGCTAAGTGTAAAAAGAAATAGATGGACAAAAAAATTAAAAATAGAATCATTTTTATGTGAGAATAAGCAAATTATTATCTTTACTTTCTTGGTTTTTGTCACTGAAACGACAAAATATAGAATGATGGGGATATTTATTACTCAGATGGATGCATTTTCTTGACGGCGTTGCGTTCTCTGAGATGATTCGTGTATTCACGAAGTTTCCACTGTCTTTCTAGACAGTATTATGAGTAATGATGGCATTCATTATTATTATTATTTGTCCCTTGGGTTCTTAGTGGAACATGGGACTTCAGTAGACCGCCTCCATTGCACTCTCTTCACTACAGTCTTTTCAACCTGGTTCCACTGACCACAACCTTTCATTTCTTCCTCACATGATCTCCTCCATATTACCCTCGCCTCGGACGCCTAACTCGTTGTTTCCCATTTGGATTCCACTTGAGGGACTGGCCTGGCGTGTGATATCCCCAATCGACCTTCTCAGTGTGTGCCGAATCCAATTCACCTACACTTTCTTCTGGATATTTGTTGGGCGATGGGTTCTTGGTTGGCTCGTTCCCAGAGTTCCTTGTTGCTTATTCTCATTACTCTGGCCATCTGATCTTCAGTGTCAGTATCGAGTGAGCGTAGGCAGTTGTTGATGTGACGTATGTCTGTAGTTTGTTGGAAGTGCTCTTCGTGATGCACCAAGTTTCTGAAACATCACGTGGAAGCACTGACTTGACATTGGTGTTGAAAATCCGGATGTTGTTCACGCTTTATGCTGAGTGCAGTGGAGTGCAGTGCAGTAGATCTCCACACTGATTTCAGAATGATGAAGGCCTGTCTTGATTTCTCGATCCTGGCTTTGACGTCGTCATTTGTGCCGCTGCCTGTAGTGGAAACGACGTTGCCTAGGTTGGTAGGTGAAAGAGACTACTTCCTTTAGGTTTCTCCCATTAATGGTCATTGGTGCTTGTTGTTGTTGTTGGTTGGGTATCTTCATCACCTCAGTGTTTTCTGTGTTCACTTAAGGTCCCGTTTTCGCTGCCTCTTCTGTTAACTTTTTGCCATTTTTAGTAGGAATCTTTATGTCCCTAACTTATAAAGCAATCATTTAATAAACTGGATTAGAATAAAGTTGAACAAAAACCATAGGAATGTTAGAAGAAAACTGTCGGTGTGAAAGTTATGAAGAAAGATATAGACCTGCTGACTAGATTTTCCAGGAAGATAGATATCATCAATTAAAAACGAAATATGGTGTTAGCAGAAAATTATCCAGAAACTTGGAGCTGTGGTTCATTAGCATAGGTGTTAGCTTTTTAATCAGTGGGTCAGGAGTTCGAGATCTGGGCAATCATTACCCCTCACACAATAGGTGTTGCTGGTTGCCTAACACACGAACACTTACATAGTTACTGAGTTGTATTCATTTTACACACTGATACATAAATCCTTCTGCTTTTTAAAATTTTGTTGAAGAACATCCTAGTTTTATGTTCTCAGTATGTAGATATTTCTCGTTATATTTCCTCTGCTTATCTTTAATTCTCTTTCATAACTTTTTTTTAGATCCTCTGTCAAGAGTTTGTAGTGATGAAATCCAGTTAACAGATAATTGATAGTCAAAATCGTTATTAAAATGATAGCCAAAATTCAAGTTACAACATTTTAAAAGAATACTGAACTGATCAATTAGCACAATGTAAACAGAATAGCGTAAACGAGTGATATTCACATACCCAAACTAAATTTTGTGATGTTGTAGTACTCATTACACCATCGATAGCTTCATTTTGTGAGGACTGATTCATCATAATTGAACCAGACCACCGTCCAATTTTTAATGCATAATGTACACTCGAACAAAGATTCGATAAATTGGTTAATAATAAACTTCTTATTTGAATATATTTTGCTTGAAACCACCGTCCATCACTGCCTCCAACACACTAGTATGAAGAGAAAGTGACAAAACGAGAATTATACTGAATGAATAAAAGTACAGTGAAATGAACTATAAATTACATAGGATATTGATTTAATGATAAGGAAAGATGAAGAATAAAATCTGAAAGTTATATCTAAAGGAATTCTACGTTATATCTTGTTGTTAGACAGATAGATGGACAAATTAACGAGAAACCGTAATATCTCCAGTGCCCTATTTACTTAGTCTGGATGATCCAGTCAGGTAATTCATGGATTGGTGTAATGTATCAAGACTGGACACTGATCTATTTTTCGAACCGTCCCACTTCAGCTAACATTTTTTGTTGAGAATGCGTAACCATGAAACTGACTTCGATTTTCGTAAGAATGATTTTTAACTAACCAACAGATGAGATATACTCCACTGACTGGCAGCATACTTCTTTGCTTATAGTTTAAATGTAGTGCTCCACTTTATGGATGAGAGTAGTTGAGAACTGATAAGTGAGGAAGATCCTTGGTAATGAACTCTATATAATGATTTGTAAAAGCCAAACAATCATAGGTTTCAGGAAAAGATGAGTCAGAATAAGGATCGCCAACTATTAGAAAGATGCTTGTTAATTCTTTTTCCTACCTTGTTCTTGTTTATTCCACTTGGTGTTACCCTAGTATCTTTCCTATGCCTTCCCTATTATACTACTTATTTGGTTGAGTAGTATAATTCTCTTTTCCTACAATGTTACTTCATCCATGACTTTGTTCATTCTGTCGCAATCGTATCTCGTTTATCAATTCAACTTTCTTGGACATAAGTATCTTTCCCAGATCAGGATTGTGTTGTGCTCCCCTCAGTTGTTCCTTGATGATCTATTTCATCCTGGACATTTGTTTATCTTGAGTCTTTTACCGCATCATGGAAACCCTCGCGCTTTCTTCATATTTTCCTTCTCGTTCATTTTGGTACACTTCTACCGTTTATATTATTGACGGTGGTAAGACTGCAAACATCTCACGATTCGAAGTTTTTGATTTATTAGTCATTATTGTTTAGGAATACATTACCGTACTTCAGATAAATCAAGTGTTTCAGATTTTACGCGTAAATCAGGCGTTTGAATTATTTATTAAAAAACCGTCTGATCTTTTCGGTTTGGAATTTTTTTGGAAAGAAATTCACAATGCCTAATATTTGTATTACTTAAATACATAGATTTTATGCATAATATAAAAATTTAAAATCACTGAATTATCTACAGTTTTAAAGTGTAGCATAACTTGTTTGTACATTGATTGATTACTGGGTGTTACCCAATGTTATAGTATTCAGTTATCAGAGTTGATCACTTTTTCGAATTTGTTATTACGTACACCAAGCCACTATCTACTCAAATGCACAATGTGAGCTGATGTATGAATACTTTGGAAAAACATTTAAGAATACTCAAATGAAGACATAACACATTCAAAAGGCAACCGAAATAGACGATTAAAGAATGCATAACTGCATCTTGTTTTCATGTAGATCATAAAAATTATATTATGTCTTAATTCTCCTTATCTCTCTCTCTCTCTCTCTCCTTGTCTTTTATTTTCTTATCATGGTTGATATTACTTTCATTTATTCATTGTAACTCATATCGATATTCGACTTAATGTGATGATGTGAGATGTGGCAGCTCGAAGTAATATCAAGTTAAGTCAAGTCCTACGTTTTAGTGTAATTGTTTTTATATGATACCGTCGTTGCTTGGACCGAATTGATCGCTCTATTTGCATATGGGCTCCTGTGCGGATGCCTCGATTTTGCCTGCGTTCTAATTGTATTAATAATGGATCGTGGCTAGCAGTAGAATTCAGGATGCTCATTTCGTCCTATTTGGGACCCGTCAGCTGGATGTACCTGCTTCCCAGTGAGTGATATTGTTCCCACCGGGATTCTATACCTGTAGCACAAGAAGTGGCTATCGTGGCTCGATGGTGTAGTGGATAACGCCCTGGCGTTTGAAGCGATCGCTCCCGAGTCCGGATCCCGGTGGGAACAATATCACGCACTGGGAAGCAGGCACATCCAGGTGACGAAATGCCCATCTTGGATTCCAGTGCTAGCCACGATCCATCATTAATACAAGTCCTACGTTGCTTAGATGTCTAGGCTAAGTGACTAGGCATTATTGTGCTCCGTATTTGATGTTCAAAGTTTAGATTCATTCAGACCACTCAGTGGTGTTGTCTTTGTGATAGAGAGTAAAGCACGAAAGAATTTTTGCAGCAACATTAGTTTTCTAAAGATTACAAATGTGCCTTACTGACAGTAAACGCAAAACTTGAGTCGATGCAATATCCAGCCAACTGGTTACAATAAAAAAATCAAAACCCATGTCTGGTCAAAAATGATATGACAACCATTTCATAGTCCCTGTTGAGAGATGTAGACTGCCTGTTTGGGGTTCCAGAGAGGAAAGAAATCCGTGGTTGAGGACCCTCGGTGATATGGCTGGAAATCGATTACAATGGCACAGATGTATTCACTCCATGACATCTTCTAAAGCTTGAACATTCACAATAACCATTATCTTCAGATTGATTATTCTCTTACACTACATTATCTACTTCAATACCACTCCTTTTCTATCCACTTATTCTTTTTGTACTTCTGTGAAGTGTGGAAACTTGAGCCGACGCACCTACGTGCAAGGTTTTATGTCTTTTCGGCAGTCAGTCCTGCTTTGTCAACAAAGTGGAAAAACTCTGCCAGTGGATTAGTAATCTACACTACGCCTTCTGGTCGTCAGCTTTCGAATAATCTTGTCGATTAGCCCTGTAATAAAATACAGTCACTACAATTGGTGTAAAATAGTAAAGGAAGATCGATAATGTAGAAGTTAGATTGCATTAGCTCCTTAGTACTACTGTGTGTAAATAACCATATCTTACTGTCTAAGTTTCATCGATTACCGGGGAATATACAAAACGAAAGTGATCCGACTATCCAGACAATTGTCTTTCAGATACAATATTATTATTATTATTATTATTATTATTATTATTATTATTATTATTATTATTATTACTGAAGGACTTTCAACCTAAATGCACACTTCATCTTTGATGATGATGATGGATTCGAATAAGAGGAAAAAACTGTCAATCAACGGATAAACACACACAGACACACAATCTAGTTTATCTGAATTATCAAAATAAGATACACATTGACGAACAGCCGAAACAAAATAAACATTTCTAAAAAGAACAGTAACACTATCGTTTGTTGATTTGATATAAAGATATGTGATGATTGACATTGTTCACCTTCAAAGAAATTAATTTTGTTTTCAACTATCGGAAGGTGAACCATGCATCCATAATGATCAGGAATGGTCTAGGGACTTTATTACTCAGCAGATTTATCATGCTTTGAACTTCGACAGGTTTTTTCAAGGAAAATTTGTTCTAATTATGAATATTTGATTTGTAGGGTCCATACATGTGTATATATGTGGACGGTTGCTATTATAATTGTGAACAATGTACTGTGTGTTGATATACGGCTGTATGTCACTGATGTTGAAAACTGGATTGGATAAGGTTATAGGTCTTTGGCTGTACACACTGCCAAAGGGTTGCTTATGTAAAGTTAAGGTCATTTGTAAGGTGTTAGTGAGTTGATGAGGTTTTAAACTTTCATGAAAATATGTGGCTTGGACTTTATTTATGGGATGTCAGGATATGGTAAACCATAACATACGGGTTATCTAACCTATTTTATCAAAATCTTAATCTCTGAGAAACCTAAGTAACATATTTTAAAACACATCTTGTATATCTTAACATTAGTCTACTTCCTTCTTCTATACTTTTTCGAAATGATACACTATGTACAACACATTCTGTCTGTTTTCTTGACAAAATACAAGGTCATACTTTGACCTATGTTTCGAACGAAAAATATGCAAATAACCAACATTACATCCGAAAAATTCATTGTTATCAATGAGAGATGAGACAAAAGGAGGAACTTAAACACACAAAAAAGTTTAGATAGGCTAATATAGATCGTTAAAATGAGATGAAGAATTAGTTGTTCACGCTTCGTATTGATAGTGATTTACTTTTTGTGCACTTAGCATGAAGATAGATAGGATCGGAATCGCCAACAGCTATGAATGAAAAAATACAATGGCATAAAGTAGATTACTTTGAAAATCATGAAAGGAAAACTGAGGTTTCCATTCTACACATTGAAGTAGAACTGTTCCTCCTTATGAAGTTTCGTAAGTTCAATAATTATTACGAATGAACATGATCTGGTGTTTTCTTTTCGTGCCTAAACTTGAACACGTTCTGTGCTCACTCAACCTTATTCAAAGAGATACATGAAAAGTATAACTCGAACAAATATTCTACCAATGTGTAAAGAGTCAAAACTAAAGGAAGATCTAGAGAATATTATTACCAACATTTTCTAAGCTTGAAAGTAACTACTCAAGTACACAGGCGATCAATACGAAGCCTTTCAGTGCTTCTTAATATTAGCGAAAGCACAATCTAACTTTTACAATAGCTATACTCGATTTACTTTTTGGCTAAAAAGGGCATTTGACAAAAGATTTTTAAAAAAAATTTACAATGTGTACACCCGACGCTGACATTTCTAACAGTTGAATAGTCGTTCAACTAACCAACGATAATTTAAACGTACTTTCCGTTGTAAGCTAACCAGTCAAGATCAAAGACTGCAATCTCTGAAGTAACGAAATGTACAATGGAACAAAATGAACAGCTTGAAACCATTCACCCTAATCAAAATTTTTCCAGTAAGAAACACACCAATGTAGACACTGTTTGCTTTCAAAAAATCTTGAAAGATTAATTAGCTGTGAAGAATTTCAGCAAACTGTGTAATTTCACGTTAGTGAAGAAGATTTATAGCTCAGAATGAAGAAGAGAATTCTTTAGTGTTTTCCAAGCTTTGATGTAGTGCAGATGAAATCATCTAGCCTACCGATGGAACATTCAAGAGAAAAAATTAAAGCTTGGAGAACCCTGAACAATTATTATGGTGTAATTGCAAATGACCCAGAGATCGGTAGCTTGACGTCTGTTGTGGCCCAGATTTTCATTCCAGTATAAATAACTTGCAGATTATTCATTTAAAGGGATAGTATTTTATTCATCTGATATGAATTCTTCCAGATACACTACTTGTGGGCTTGATCACAAACGAGCGAAATGACTGCGTCATATTTGGTGGCTAGCAGTAGAATCCTGGACGTACCTGCACCCCAGTATCCACGGCTTCATACGCCGAATCGTTATCCACTAGGCTACTGGGGCACAAGCACCAATAAACAACAATGACTGCATCATGTTTACATCATCCTGATGTGATTGGTAAAACTTGTAGATACGTGTGAATAATTTCTACTTTTCATGTTGTTCAGCAGTGTATTCCATCAGGAATAACTTTTCTCGTGTGGCAAATACAGTAACTCTGAAAACTTGTGTACATTTATGTAATTGGGTGTTAGCAACCCCTAATTTTGGAGGGATTATAAAACTATTTGGTTGCCCAACAGAATTAGGTGAAAGTAGGATTTACCGATTACTAGTTTGAAGCTTAGGTCAATGAGTACAACAAACATGAGGTGTAATTCTCTATGGTAATTGACAAGTTTACATTCCCTGAATTTGTAATAAACGCTACAAAAAAAGTTTGCCAAAAACCAAAAGAATTTCAGTTCAGACTGCAAAAAAGCTAGAATATTTGCTAAACAACAGCCATTAAGGGATGGTGAAGGCATATTTCATATGAATAACAGGGAAAAAGCTAAACTATATAGGTACCAAAACTATTTGAATGATTAGTAAAAGCAAGGACAACATACTTAAGATTGTAAAGCTGACATTAGTTTAAGTACCAACAGAAAGACGATTCGGTATAGTTATAAGTAATGCTTATAACATCAGTATACAATGTTTACAACGTACCATTATAGTGGTTTGTATTTTGCAAGCTTCCTCTGCAGCATTTCTTAAGCCTATAATTAATTTCCCTATCCATGAGTTTGTTTTCTTTGTTGTTGTTGATGATGAAGATATTGTCTTTGTGTTTTGAGATGGTGGACATAATTCTGGAATGTATTGTATTAATGTTCTTTGTACATCTATTTCCAGACTTCTAGCTAAATTGATAAGCTTAGATTCCATTTGACTGAATTCATATAAACCACTTATCCAAAAGTAAGATTTCTCCGTTAAAGTCTGTGAAGAAGAAACAGAAAGTAAGCATAAGGCTCATAGACTGGACCTAGAAAACATCAATGGAATGGAAGGTCAAAAACTAATAAAGATATCATCACATAACTAGGTTGGTGGTAAGCAGTCTTATTTTCAACAGCTTGGTACTTAAACGAATATAATGTAGCAAATGTTATTATATTATATGGAAATGTACTTCTTTTAGGGACGGAATCAATAGAATTCTGATTACATATAGTAAAGGAACAGAATATCAAAATACAGATCAGAAATAAAGTTTATTATCCAAAAATGAAATTGTCAATGTTCAATATACAGTTTTTTACTTTCTTTGTTCATGTATCCGGATCAACAATATGAACTGCAATTTTTACATAAAGCAGTATAAACATCAAGAGAATAAACTCAATGATGTATATATGTTTCAATATCCTGAAGTAGTCAATAAAAAATAAAATAACTGCATATCTATTCAATAGGTTATAAAGCATACCTATTGTGTCATAGATAACGAAACTATCTGGTTATTCAGTCATAGGTAGTAGAAGTGAGATTTAAACCGGTAACCGGTGGCTAGAAGTTGAATGCATAAGTCGATAAGCCATGGTAGCAAACTGGAATACTGTTTAAATAACTTTCAGCATTTACTTTTGAGTTATGATTAAGTGACTGACTAAATCAATGTAGAACCTCACACACAGGTGGATCAACTCAAGTCCCCACACTTCACATTAGTACACAAAGAAAAGGTGGATAGAATGACAGCGATGTTAAAGTAGATAAAGTAGTGTAAGAGACTCAACAATGTGAAGATAAAGGTTAATGAGGATATTCAAGCTTTAGAAGATGTCATGAAGTGAATACATTTGGGCGATTGTGACCGATTTCCAGCCATGTCACCAAGAGTCAGTCCTCAACCACTGATTCATTTCCTCTCGGAGACCCCAACCAGGCAGTTCACATCTCCGCACATGACTCAGATTAACAGTGAGGGACTTTATCGACTGGTGGTAGGTCTTGGTCTAGGCACCATGTACCCTCTTTCAACTTAATCCAACTTCTCCTAGTAAGGTGTGTTGATGTAGGTGGTGGCTCGGTTTGAGCAGTACATGTCCACACCATCTCAGTCGACTATAGCCTTCAAGGATGACATAATAAAACAAATATGTGCGGTTTCTAAAGGTACAATGGTGCATCAAATATCTTGGATGGATTATTATACTTTGCATGACAATTTTTGAATCAGTATGCAGAAATATAGTGAACAAGAAACAACGATGCGTTTGTCATCGATAGGCAGCTGTTATACTTATAAATACCACCCAGGGTTGCTATGATTCAATATTAGGCAGTCGATATGAATTATATTCTAGGCTCGGGCGAATAAAAGAACCACTATATATCTCAATACCACCTAACCCATCACACGAAGAAGAAGTAAGACAAGGTAGGAGCAGACTACTGTTCCGAAGTGGCGATGCACAGGAAAAAACTCATGTATACATGTATACTTTTATACAGTGACATCGGAGACCAGCTACTCAGGGTGACAGTTTTAAGTGCAAATTTTGGAATTGCACAGACATTTTAATTTTCTAAAACATGATTAAAAAATATTACGTTTCCCAAAGTTTTCGGATGGGATTTCTACGAAATAGTTGTATTTCCATACAAAAGTAACAAAGGTACATATTTCCATGTATCTCTTTTCGGTGAATAAATTACCGAAACGATTAAATTCTGCTTCCTACAGCATGTCCAGAACAGTTCAGTAGGTACCAATAAACAAAAGATTTTAGTTGTTTCGAATCTTTTGTCAATTAAATATATGTCTGATACTTGACTACCCTTAAATTCTACATTCATGAATAAAGTTTTGTAAAGCAAATTAGTAACCGGTTTAGTATATCTTTCTGTAATATTTTTTATCAATAAAGTGACTAGGTTAACTGTTTTCAACAAGCGTACTTTTAGATAAAGGAAGTTCCACATCAAAAAAATCATCACATATACTCTGTTTTAATATGAAAGCACGCGACTATTTCGTTCAATAATTCCACTTTTACACACAATAATACACAAAGCAGGATTACCTATTTGTCGGTATTTGAGATAGCAGGAATAGGTGATCACAGATTTTAGGTGGTGCACATATCCTAGTTCTATACTCTAAACAAATTCTACTTACTTTGTCTTGGACTTAATTTCAGGTGACCCTTTTGACTATCTTTAGCTGTAACGTTCAAAAACGTCCACCAGTGTGGTCACTTTATATTTGGTATAGTCAGTTTACAAGTGTAATGGCTTATTAAAAATCCTGTGTCTCTTTGTTGTCGTCGGACAGTGATGCAAAGTCAGATGAGTAAATGACTTAACTGATGTGAGTTGTGCATAGAAATGTGATAGTGAATGGAATACATAGTGGATTTATGTAAAATTGTGGTGAAAGTCAGTTAGGCTAGAGAAATATTCACTGTAGAATCTTTGAAACAACATGGTAGCAAACATCCGCCCTCCCCCTCCCTCTGCAAAAAAATAATGCAGTTAACCGGTTCTATGATCTTCAAGCATCTCAAGGATCAGGCAATCTGAATATACTACTGGATGAAAAGCTTCTGTTATACACACTTAGTGTCTTGGTTTGGGATGAGGTTTCCCGAAGTTCTAATCAGAAGTCATGACTAAGTCGGACGTCAGGACAGGTACGCAACGACAGCACTGGATGAAGGTTATGCTATATCACGAACTAACAGAGGTAGGGGAATGTGGACCATTGAACTCCGACCAGATGGCTCAATAAAAAAGAAATATATCTAGTTTATTGCAAGATGATGGTTATTCTGGCTTAAGTGGTCTTAAAAATCTTGCATTAACGAAATTACTCATATCAGATCATCAAATTGCCATATCATATTGGATAAATCTGTTCGTTCCAATCATTCATTTAGTTTGCCCAATTTGATGTTCTACATTAAAATGGATCTTTTTAATAACTTAAACCACTTATTATTGTAGCTAGGAAAATATAAGCTACACACGTTAAGGCACTCTGCACCTAACAGAACAGTACATCGCAAAATGGACTAATGACTAAAGTCGTACAAATAGTAGTGGGTAAAGAAAAGTTCCGTAAGTTGGCTTTATTGTCAGCTAATTGAATCATTGGAAACATCCTCATGTTAAAATCTCGATTTAGGGTTAGAAAGCCGATGACATAAGTAAAGTTGCTTATATTTCTACATTGTCCCAGAAAAGCGTTTAAGTAATAATAATAATAATAATAATAATAATAATAATAATGTGTTATCACTAGTCAATGTCAGTACAACTCACCGAAAATGACAACTTCTCATACAGCCTACCAGCGAACTCATGTTGACCATATCTATTGGCTTGCCTGGCTAGTTGATAAGCAATCCATGGTGATAAATGATAACCCAAAGAACCAGTACCGATTTTTTCACCCAGGAATTTTGTCACTGTATACATCAGCAGTGTTTGTTCTTTTTGAGTTAACGGAATACCACCAGTCAACTGGAATACTAAACCGACAGCAGCAAGTACAGATGAAGTTACACTGTCTTGTGTAGAAGACGATGAACACGACAGATCATCATCTTGGACAGGACTAATTAATCTAGACAATACACTTGAATAATTAAGTTGCTCAAATTGTATATCACCATCACCAGTTGATGAGTCAAGAAATAAATATTGTGATAGTCTAGCATACATTGTACATAAAAATTGACACAATAAACCGGTACGAATTGCTCCATCTACAATGCAAAACAAAAAAATAGATTACGAATAAGTTGAATAAACAATGGCGGCCTGTTTGAACCTTGGGCTACCAAAAAGTTTCTACCAAATATATATAACCTTTCAAGTTGTTTTAATCATCTAAATGTGTCCTCTAAACGTTGCATGTACACTTTCGGATTTTAAAAATGTTTTCAACTTGCCGTTTCTCGAGTTAATTACAATAAAGAGAATAAATGTCACGTTATATGAAAGTGGAAATTTTAGTGCCCAGAAGTACATCCTATATCTCTCCTTTGAATACTTAGCTTGAGTTGCAGATTCTAGTACTGGCTGAATGAACCGCCACCACCAAAATTAAGCTCCGATTTCTGGTGATTCTTCATTATGGATCGGACGCTAATCTAAAACCAGCTGTGTATTTTACATTACTGCCTTGAATACTGCTATTATTAACACCATTCAGATACAATAACCATTTATTCTGAAAATATTGTTCTGAAAGTGACATTGTTGAAAACTAACATGTTGCGAATTCGATACTGTATCATACATATTGTTTGGAATAAAGCGATTATTATTATGATTAAAAATACTTTGCACTTGCAAGAAATAATAGTTCAGTGGAAAGGACTTTGGCAATATCTCTGACTGCAAAACTTGATAATTTAAGTTAATAGATTCCTACTAGTCACCTCTAATCTTTGAGCGTTAACTAAGATAGTGATGACAGATCGCCGAATTCGGTGACTAAATTTCAAAGCTGATCAAGAGACTTCTATCAATACGTCAGACTAGAAGATATATGATATTTGTTAATCTTTAGTTACCAGTCAAAATAATGAGTGAATTTCTTAGTTAAAGATAAAATTCAAAGGTGGGTTAGAATTCCACTCCAGCTGATGACGTTGGGATAGCTAACTAGCTAGTAATCTTAGGCTTCACAGCTGAAGTCTAATTGTCTTGGTTGTATTGTGTTCTCTGAGCTGGCTTGTTTAATCGATTAAACAACCCAGCTCAGAGAACACAATACAACCAGGACCACCCACCTGAGCTACAAATATTCTCCATTATTTCAATGTCTAACTATGAAATCATTTGTATAACTTATAATAAAGGCATGACAATTATAGAAAGACAAAACAAAGTGATGGGAATAATGAAACCAGAAAAACAATGCAAGAAGATAATGATACGACTCACGATGTGGACAAATGTTATCCTAGGCGCTAACAAAAGATTATACTGAATATGTTTATTCGACATAGTCGTATCAAATAAGCATGGTCAACACGGAATTACACTCCATGACAATGCCCGAATTCTACTCCAATGTTAACAGAACACCCTTATCTCTTAGAATTGAGATATGGACCAATGGTACAGACACTGAACTGTTCACTAGTAAATTACTCGTTCAAACCCACTTCACCTAATTAAACCTGGGACCATAAGTAGTGCCAGTCAATCGGTCAATATCAATATGGGACCTGGTATTTACTTCATAAGCCTTTAAGTTACCACATTCCCCATCAGCACTAAAAATTCAAGAAAAACAGATGAAAGACAGAGAAATAGTGGTCAAGATTCGTAAAACGTTTCTAGAGGTGGATGGAGGTATCAACCAAGTCACAAAATGTGATCAGGATGAAGATGATGTGTGGATGCATCTACACTATTGTGATCCATTCTGAACCATATCACCAGAGTCTCCAATCGTCGGTGTCAATCGTCGCGCGGAGTTCAACCAGGACTATATTATATCATAAGACTTTACATATTAGGTATGACTCATAACCTGGGTCAAAGACATCTACAAGGTTGTTGAATCAAGCTGTTATTGCATTTTGTAAGATATAAATCTTTACTTGTTAGGTGGTTAACAAGACTACGCACAGTAATTATAACACGGAAAGTATGATTAATTGCAAAAGGTTACCCTGGTTTGAGTTATACTAACGCACAACTTCAATCTCCAATTTCAGAAAGTATATTCTGTTTGTTTACATTTGCATATATGAATACGATGAAAAGTCAGTCAATACAAGGAATTAGTACTACTTTACAAAGTCACGAACTATTTTTTACAATTACATAACACCCTAAGGTTAACGTCCCAATTATTCACTGGATTTCATCACTAAACATGACATTTTCTGTGAAAGCATCAGAAACAGGTAACGCAAACGGTATAAGTTTCTCGTTTAGTTACTAAAGGTGTTGAGAAAGTGTATCAGTTATAGTGTGGATTAAGATTGCCCTTGTATTTTGTATATATTTATCACGTTGTACCTTCTGTTGTTTTAACGTCTTTTCTATTTACCAAAAAACTGAGCGACCATCAAGGGGTGGAATTTGAAGTTTGGCGACAAGGTTATAACGACAGCCTTCGAAAAACCTACATTCTAGTCTCGTGAAAAAGAAGGAGAATTTATTAGCAAGGACCAAAGAAATAATATGAATTTATGAATTAATGCGCTGAAGTTATTCAATTAACCAGGGTACAATTATATCATTCAGGCTAATGAGTAGAGCCTATAAACATGAATACTTGATGTATCTCGTGATTAGGATGTCCGGAAATTCACATATATTCAAAAAATCACTACGTTAGAATCGACGTCAGGCTATCGAAATATCTTTTCCCGACCAAAACCATCAAAAAGTCATAAAGGGTATAAAACTCAGTGCACGTGAGGACAAATACTCAACGACGACATTGGGTGATAATCGTGTTATATAGTAAGCTCATGGAAGTAAGAAATTCAGTAAAACAAACAATGTGAGCGAAGAAATATTTCTTTTCGATTAGTTCCTCATCAATGGCTCTACACTAATATAGCATTTTCAAACGTAAAATTACATACCAATCTAGTGGTGAGAGTTGTTCAATGAAAGGTTATCAATCTCAAAGTATCAAGATCAATTATCACCTTCTTGATACTTTGAGATTGATAACCTTTCATTGAACAACTCTCACCACTAGATTGGTATGTAATTTTACGTTTGAAAATGCTATATTAGTGTAGAGCCATTGATGAGGAACTAATCGAAAAGAAATATTTCTTCGCTCACATTGTTTGTTTTACTGAATGTCTAAATGGGAATTTTCGCATTACTGAAGTAAGAAATATGGACCATTCGATCCCAACCCAGTGGCTCAATGGTAACGTGCTGGTCATAGAAGCTGATGATCCTCAAGCACATCTGTGGCGGGGTCACGGATGCCCACTGCTGAGGAGTCCCTTACTAGGAAGAAACAGTTGTCCAGTGTTCCCATGTTTCTAATTTCTCTCCAACTGATGTCAATTCGTGATGAATATCAACCTGAAATCAATAAATTCCCACAACCCCCCAAATTGGAATTTATTATATTAAAATAAGAAAGTTTCAAAATAACTTACCAAGACGTATACCTTTGAGAAAGCTCATCTTATGCAATTGAAATGCATAAGAGGGGAATGTACTAAAGAATTCCACAAGTAGATTATATGTACACTAGAAATGAAAAAAAAAACTAAATAACAATGGTCATTGCTAGAAAAATTCTTTTTAGAAATATTTCCTCAGAAGACGGAGACACAAAACAACACAGGAATCGATTCGGGTTGTTACAACTCACAACAAAAGAACAGAGGAATAAATGAAGCAGAAAAATAAACTATATAAGAAGAATATGACAAGTCATTTTGAGGATCCTAGCTGGAAACTCGCTTAACTCAGAGTGTCCACTTTCTCATGAAGTATTGCCATGATTTGATATGGTTTTAGTTATTTCAAACTAATCCTACTTCAGCTAACATTCTGCGCTGGAGTAGACAGTTACTTCAGAATGTTCAACATATAATCTATTTTAACTTCTTTTAGTTCATAGACAACTTACATTCCTTGTAAAAAAATCGAATGCCTAACCTTTTGGAACTCAAACTTCTATTGTGAAAAAACGGATTACAGATGAAACAATTTCTCATGAATAACAGTGTAGCAGGTTCACATATACGACTACTTAAACCTGGTCACAACAGGAGGTAGCATCAATCGACTCACATACAGTAGGGATGTATAAACTTGCAGTTTCCCAATAAATTGTGCATAGTTTCCTATACAGAAACGCAGAATATTAACAGTAAGTATGAGCAGTAGTTTTATGAAATCTGTTACATTTGTCCTACTTAGTAATTTACCAAATGTCCCAAGTATAGACCTTTTACTACTGTGTAGGCATAAATTACTCTGTTATTCACAGTTAAAGATTATCAAACCTGGAATACAACGTTCAACTTAGTCACCACTGTTCGCATATGAAATTCGTTTGTTTCTACATCCCTTATAGAACATAAGTTAACTGAATTTATCAGTGACTTACAACTGGTGGTTTCTTATCTCAAAATGACTTCTTTCCATCTTCAAGGAATATTGGTGATAAGACGAACTAAACGCGGTAATCTCAAACACCAATAATCAGATATACAATTATTGAGATCTGTTATCTCTGAAGTGACCAAATCACGGTGAATGTAGAATTTAATTTAGCGGTTTGTGGAGATTTATTGACCGGTGGGGCGAACCTGGTGGCCATGAGGACAAATACTCAACGATGACATTGGGTAATGGTCGCATTATGTCGTAAACTGATAGAAATAGGAAATATGGACCATTCGATCCCAACCCAGAGGCTCAGTGGTAACGTGCTGGCCACGGGACTTGAAAGTCCTGGGTTCGGTCCCACGCAGGGCTACGGGTGCTGAGGAGTCCCATACTAGGACGAAACGGCTTCCGGTGTTCCCAAGTTTTCAATGTTCCTCCAACTAGTGTCAGTCCATGAAGAATACGAACTTGAATGTAGAATTGTCATCGTTCATGGCAAGATTAAGGTCTTTAAGTCATCTTATAAACTTGTATTCTCCACAATTTTTCTTTCTTTCGCTGTTGAATCCACGTATAAGCACGTATTCAGGATATTATGCTGGATGGCTCAAAGGAGGCAGTATTCAACTGTACCTTCCAGCTAAAACTTTCATTTTCTTAGTTTTTGTGTTTCGCAGTCATACACTGACAAATAAATAAAAAACTGATTTACTGTGCTCGTACACAGTTGACAGGCAGAACTAATGTATGTCGTTATTTTGATCCGCATTCTACACATTCAAACTGGTGATGTAACGAACTTTAATTCAAAGTTACCAAACAAAACAATGGAATTGTCATTCATTGGAAGACTTACTGTGGTTTAATAACAATCAATTTAAGGTCGATAAGTCGACTGAGATGGCTTGGATATGTACTGACCATGTCAAGTCATTGTCTACGTCTATGCACCATGCTCGAGGAACTTGAATTACGTTGAAAGAGGGTACATGGTGCCTAGACCAAGACCTACCACCAGTCGATAAAGTCCCTCACTGTTAATCTGAGTCGTGTGCGGAGATGTAAACTGCCTGGTTGGGGTCTCCGAGAAGAAATGAATCAGTGGTTGAGGACTGACTCTTGGTGACATGGCTGGAAATCGGTCACAATCGCCCAAATGTATTCACTTCATGACATCTTCTAAAGCTTGAATATCCTCATTAACCTTTATCTTCACATTGTTGAGTCTCTTACACTACTTTATCTACTTTAACATCGCTGTCATTCTATCCACCTTTTCTTTGTGTACTAATGTGAAGTGTGGGGACTTGAGTTGATCCACTTATGTGTGAGGTTCTACATTGATTTTGTCAGTCAGTTAGCTGAGAATAGAGATGTACTAAAATGAGAACCCAGTTTAACTTGTATTAAATGTTACCTTCTTAAAATTAGTATACTAAAATACTGAAACAAAAATGAATTTCATTCAACTACCTTCAAGTCATTGATTGATATTTCATGATCATAGAGGTACCAATGTGTCTTTCTATTTTCTTCTCCTTCTTTATTCGTTGAAATAGTGAAATAATGTAAGAGTAAACTTATCAGTTGTTCTGGTTTAAATTCGAACAATATTTCACACTTTGTACAACTTTCACAGCTTGGTTTATCATTCTCGCCTTGATCTTTTTCACCCTTTAAAATAGTTAATTTACATGCTAACTGAATTGCACGTATAAGCAGTTGGGATGATGTATCTTTTAAAGCACTTGTAATACAATCAACAGGAGTATAATCTGGAAATAAGGAAATATATGAAAGTATAAAAAAATATTGTAAGCAGTTTAACCTATATGTTATTGTCTGCATTGATTCTGCTATGACCGGTAGTATCCCTAACACTCTAAGAGCAATGCGAGCCTAGCAGACTACGAACGATTTAAACCTAACGCACAGCGAATAGACTCTGACGTAAACCAGAACGTCAACCACCACAACAACAATACCACGGACGCGCGAAACTAGACTGTTGACAGAGAGCTTTTTACTGTCATAACAACAGTCAATACAGTTGACAGTGATGCTGAATATATACATTTCTAAATGATCTTGACAACACAAAATCCACATATGGGTAAAAATAGTCAACAATCAATGACAGTTCAGCCTTGAGAGCAGAGGGAAGAAAGAATAGTCATGTGGGTTATTTTAAAGTCATGGGCAAAACCGCAAGCAAAAGCTATGCAAAATTAGGGCATATAGTAGATTCTCAGTATAATGGTGGTCAAGTTAATAAGAGTTTCGCTTCCGTGAATATTAGTATTAAATAATTGATCTAATAGGAAATGTATATTGAAATTCACTAAACATTTTGTCTTCTCACTTTGTTCAGTTTCACAACTCTTAAAATCAAACATTAAACTTTGAATCAGTAAATCATAGGCTTGAATACTGCTCCATCGAGAGTATGATTACTCTATGTGCAAGAGGCATGACCCACAGTCCAGTGTACGAACCTGAGCATAGTTGTTCAGTTACCCTGCAAAACGTTAACTTCACAACAGTGTGTTGGGAGAATGATTTAGGGATCTGCAGCTCTCTAGTTGAAAATAATAATAATAATAATAACAATCACATTGTTCCAGACAGTGACTTTTAGTACAGTTTGGAATTCTCAGTATGATATTCCAACAAATTTCCTACTTGTACAGTATTTTCAAACTAAAAAAAAACTATGCCAGGTAAATAATGTTAATAATAACAGAATGATAGGCAGAATGGCAGAATGGTAGAATGGTAGAATGGCAGAATGATAGGCAGTAATGTACAATAACCATTAGTTTTAGGTCATCAACTAGTTTGTATGTTGTTGCACGTCGGTCGTATAGAAAAGTGCATTTAAGTTTGGTGGTGGAAGCTAATTCATCCAGTATGAAAATTTGCCATGTGTTCCTGTAAAAGTTATTTGATGCATTGTTGTGGGTTCAGAGGTCAACTGTCGTCTAATAAGATATTTTCTTCTTGTTAACCCATCTAATGATAAGTTGAAGACATTTTAAGAGTGCACGAGAGTATGTTTAACGATTAGTTGACATTTGGACGGTTAAAACAAGTAAAAAAGAAGCAGTTCGATTAAAATGAAACGAAGGAAACACACTCACCTACTTTGTACTCATCCGTGACACTACCTGGCTGCCTGATCCTCTGTAGGTGGGACGGGGTTCGAACCCGTGACTCGCTGGTTGATAGTCATCTCCCCAAACTACTGAGCCACAGCTCCAAGTAACTCAGTTAATGCGGTTGTGAACCTTCATCGACTGAGATGGCTTGCTGGGACATGTGTTACGCATGCCTAGCCATTGTCTGCCTCGTCACAAAATGTTTGCCGAAGTAGGTTCAGGCTGGATGAAGGCTCGGGTGGCCAGATTAAAACATGGCATTCATGCATGAAGTTATTGACTATTCGTCTGAGTTATGTAGGGCAATGGAGACTAGCTGGTTGGGGTCCTCAGAACGAGAGAAACCAGTGGCTTGGAGACACTAGGTGACATGGCCCAGAACCAATGTCAATGGTGCAGATGTATACACACGTTATCCTCATGACTGCTATACTTAATCTCATCATTTTCTTATTTCTCCTTCCCCTCGTTTACTACTTTCTACTCCTTTTGACTGATTTTCCTTTCATTCTTCATCTTCCATTTTATTGACTTGTTACTTGATGTGCTGATATGAGGTGTGACAACTTAGACCATTACGCAGTAATGCCTGGTTCTATGTTGATCTTGATGATGAATCCGATGAAATATTCTTGAAAGCCTAAAATCTAAGCAGGGCACCACTTGGTGTTGATACAGTTGTTCACGTTAAACAATAAGGTACTATCAATTATTATGCTTGTATTAGTGTTTTGACGATTACGAAAAGTAATCCACTGAGTTATCGCTTTCAAGGATAATCCAACTTCTGCCGTTATATTCTACGCGAAGGACAACGGTCGGGAGTGGTAGCTGCATGCATTCCCATTGCATTATTAGCCATTGGAAGAGTTCACACAGCATCATCAATGCTTCTATGCATTTATGCAGAAAGATGACCGAAGACTATGATCTTTTAAACCGACTATTCAAAATGACATATCGTGCTACAAAAAGATTTATCGCTGACAGAAAATCATAAGAAATGATAATCCAACATTCTTATTTCTGCACTATCCAATGAACTTGCGTGTAGTCTCGAAACAACGAAAAAACAAACAAATGTAGCGTGAAAATAGTAGTTGAAAACTGTCATTAAGCAACAGTTTGATATCAGAAAATGTATATCACTAATACGAACACTATGCTGTGAATTAATTATCAGCAGCCTACTCATCAACATATTATAGATGGACAGTGGCTAGGGATAGAGTCCAGGATGCGAGTTTCGTCCTATTCGGGGCTCGTCAGCTGGATGTACCTGTCTCGCAGTGAGTTATATTACTGGCACTAGGGCTCGAACTCAGGGCTGGTCGCTTCAAACGCTAGGGTGTTATCTACCAGACAATATCGCCACACATTAACAGTTATAGAAAAACTGAAAACCAAGAAAAAGTGTATTGGATAGGCTACATTGCCTTTTGATACTCATCAACAAAGCATATCTGCAGTCCTAAAGATTAGATGCATAACAACCATAGCAAGCTTAAGCTACCACTTCACATAGCCATAATTTTTATTTGGTTTAGAACAAATGATCGAAGGTGAGTTCATACAATTTAGATGAATCCACCATATCTACCTCATCCCTATATCAGTAACAATTTCTGATTATCATTTTAATCCCTAATTTTTCTGGATAAAACAGTCAAGTCATAATCCCATAAAATTACATATTTGAAAGAGATTCTGTCTGGTGATTTCGCATTTTAAAATCATTAGCTATTCACTAATTCGCCTCTAGAGTGTTATCCATTACAGTTTTTACAACTGATGGAGATCTCGTGAGTTCACTACGTCCTAAAAACTCAGGCACTGCAGCATCTTTTCAGTTCAGGATGCAAATTAAATCAGTAAGTTATCATGAACATTTACGAGTATGAACAAGCTGGAAATCAACTTATTCTCGTGGTCGAACATTCAAGGATATAGATATACTACTTATTAATAGTGAGTAGTACACATGAATGATAAAAAGTACGTTCATAAAAATTGATGGGCGCAAAATGGTAAGATAATCTGATATACATTGACAGTATCTGGAAACTCATCTTCTGGAAGTTATTCAACTACACCTAAGCAACCCATTTTTTTAGATCAAAACCACACAGAAACCTTGTACCACGAATCGACAGTAGTGAGAAAACATAGTTCCCAAAGTTAGAACCCAGTGGCTGAGTAGTAATTGGTTGACTGTGAAAACTGACGTCCTGAGATTATAAGTGGAGACTATTAAGAAGTCTACTCATAGGATAAAATAGCTTTCTAGTAGTCTGTCGTTTCCACTGGTCATTTAACTGATAGTGAAGAGTAATAAAAACTATTTTGAAATAAACCAATTAACCACAAATTTCGAAATTGAATATTATATCGACACAAAGAAAACAAAAATTAGTGAGCATAAAATACAATAGTACCAGATTCCTTGGACGGTAGTGTAAGAAACTCCACAGAGTGAAATGATGTCGTTAGGCAGAAGAATATCTGTAGAATTAATACTTTGTCCATTTTACTGCAGTTTTCAGCATGGTAAATGGAACTCAACTCCTAGATAAAGAAAACCAACAGCATTGAACGGTATCATGGTTAGCAAAAGCTGATTTGTACAGATGTGAGTAGTGCATACATTAAGTCTTAAGAATCATTCACTAAGACCAAACTGGCATCAATTTCATGTATGTTTCATGAGACAAAATCCAACACCTAAATGTACAGTCCATTATGTCATTTGGAATGGAAATACTGTCCAAACAGACAACTTTTACCTAAATGCATACGGTTGGAGACTAAAAGATATCGCAAGTGAATAAAAGTGTGTCAACTTTCGGTCAATTATATGTATGTTTAAGAAGTGGACTAGCTTTTTCGAATTTCGGTTATAATACAAAAGGTCTTAAAACACTTTCGAGAGCAGAAACCAGTGAATAGAAAAGATATAAGAAAATTACCTCTGGTTGACCAAGACTTATGCCTTAAATATGAATAAATTAACCGTGTGGTTTCATTCTTAATAACATACGCATCTGAACCTAAAGCTGACTTGTATAATGGAATCTGATCACTAGTTACGTTCATTATTCACCTGACAGAAGTAAATATTACTCTCCATGGATGCATGATATAATTCCAAGCTGTCAGTGATAAACAGTCTTCATTCCTCCAGTTGAACATGTGTATCAGAAGTAATCCTTTAACATAAGAAGCTCCCTATCCAATTAGATGTTTAATATCTATTCCAATTTTTCGCTTTTTACCGGTTTCTCTTCTTTCTTTTTTACTGTTGTGAAGGTTGGCGGCCTGACTGAACGCAATTCTTTTGCAAGGAATCACGTTATTGTATCTCAGCGAAATTTCGGACAATTTCAAGTATTTCGCAAACACATGTCAGTGTAGGCATATTTTACATAAATGAATTTAGTGTTTCAAATATTCTGTGCTAATTTTTTTTAAATCGACAAGGTTGGTTCGAAAATGAAGATATTAAACTATAAAAATCTGACTGATAGTGATAAGGTTTATACTGAAAGAAGTGAATGAAATGTACTCCAGTGAAGAAAGATGTAATGTTTCAGCAGCATGCATAAAAGTAAACTGACTCTAGAACAAAACACATAAAAAGATTACATTTAATGCATCTAAAAACCACTGAGAACAGTGAAATAGAATAGAGTGACGAAAATTCATCTTCTAAGAAAGTGAATTTTCGGGTATTGAAATGATGAACATTCACTTTGAACACATAAATTCACTTGTAATTTTATACGCGGATAAATCGATTTCGCTAAAGAGACCAACTGCTACAACACATTTTCTGACGATAAATAGTTAGTATGTACGCAGTGGTCTTTTTCTTAGATAAACACAATATGATCACAAGCTCATTGAATACCATCTGATCACCTTCTTTTACTATAACAACTACAGAAAAGATATGTACTAACTAATTTTGGGTTTTTCATCTCTAAGACCTACAGTTTTCTAGTTCAGTAAGCCATTAGACCCGTTTGTGTATGCATTTTTCAAGGGTAAACTAAAACTTCAACAACTACATCTGTTTATCATAACTAACTGGTCATTTTTTTGCAACTTCGTGCTCGGCAAAACAGTTTTCGTACTACCTAACGTATCTTAATGTAAGATATTCCTATTTATTATTAAAGAAATGGAAGCAACCACGGGTTATTTAGTCACCCGAACTTAGTTTTAACAAATAGGAATTGGATTCAATTTATTGTCTTGTTAAATCCTTAAGTTTTGAAGTAGGACATTAATTTAAAGGCCCAACTGTCATACGTGAAGCATATTAGAAAATCTTGACAATGTATTGAATCAAAGTAACTGTGAAAAAAAACTTACAAGGAAATGAGATTTATCAAAGTGATGTGACACATTTTCAGCTAAGGTAATGAGATTCCAAAGGATGCTTTGACGAACTTGAGGTCTGAATTCTGTAGATAATCTTTTGATCAGGAGATCGATCTGCACAAGCATAGAAATTAAATAGACTTTATAACTATAGATTAAAAGCCGAATTAAAGAAATAAAAAGAAATAAAGACTGAAATGCACATTCAGATCTAGTAGGATTTACAAGTTATGAGAGAATAAGGTAATCCACTCTATTGATTAGAGTCAATGAAATTTAAACTGCACATATTGAAGTTGCCCACAACACTAAAGTGGACTTGTAGCTCAATGGTTTAGGAAGATGACTTTCAGCCATCGGGTTACAAGTTCAAACCCCTCTCCACCTACCGAGGTTTGGGCAGCCAAGTATTATCACTAACCCTTACACAATAGGTGTGGCTCATTGCCTACTGCATAGATATGCACAAAATTTCTGAGTGCACTCGACTCGAGAAAAGGAAGTAATATTTATGGAAATTGTTGACCCAAGTAAAACACATTAACAGTATATATTTTGACTCCTCCCTAAATAAAGACACCAAGATATGTCATGGTAGCTAGGTAGTACTCATCACGGGCTCATATCATTTAGAGAAACATTGGAAAGCCAGGTGCACTGGACAACCATTTCGTCCTAGTAAGAAACTCTTTAGCAGTGTACACTTCACCACTAGATTCCGGTCCAGTAGTTGAGTCGTACACAAGGATGAAACAGCTGTCCAATGGCACCCAGGCTTTCAGCGGTTTTCTAAGTGATGTCAGTCCATGATGAAAACCGCCCTAGAACTAACTAATCAATCCCCTCACACTTTGGAAGTGGACAACGATAACCATTCTGAGTTTTGTAAAATAAAATCATAAACGATAATCTCATAGACTCCAGCAATATAATTGTCATAGTTTTTAAAATAACATGGCTACTCTTCAAAAACAGAAGTCACCAATCGTGTAGTTTTATGGACAATTTTTGTGAGGGCTAACGACAACTACTGAATAGCCTACAAACTGGGTCTTGGTAATGCAACTCTGAGGTTCTATTATAGGCTTTGAATCACATCTAATATGTCAAAAATCTAAACGCAGTTAGTGATCACAAACACATTTGTACAGCAGACAATGAAGAATACCTAATGTGCGAGGGCTAATGATACTATCTGGCTAATCAAACATCGACAGGTGGAGAGGACTTAGAACTTGCAAACCAAAGGGTGGTAGTTAAACGCCTACACAAATGAACCACAGCTCCACATACCTAATGCGTAAAGATATAAACACAATACGCCTGCTGAGGTCAATGACGACAGTGTCGCTGTTAGACTGGTTGGTAATCAAATGCTAAGAAGTGGAATAGGATGAGAACCTGAGGTCGGAAATTTGAAAATAAAATGCATCAAACACTGAACTATTACTTTTCCTTGTCAAAGGAAATAAGAATAACGATGATGATCAGAAGCGGCAAGAAGGTTTGGAAAAACAATTTAAACTAGGGAATAAAAGGTGCAAACAGTAAGTGGTTCTAGGATTTAGATGGAGGCAGGGTGCAGATATATCTGTACCAACATCGGGTTGAATGTGAGTGGAGGCCTTTTTTTCTGTAAAAGACATCTTTCCGTTAACTTGCACAGATATCCAATAGACTTATTAGTTTTTTTGTAATAATTATCATAATGACAACTATCAGACTCCAAAGTAGAATGTCTATACAGTACAAGATGTCATTTAGTATATGATTCCACTTGCCCAACTTGTGATAAATTCTTCCATTTTCAAGTACTAGTCTAAAGAGCTTCCCTAAAGTATCCTTTCCTAAATATGATAACATACCACTTTCATGAGCGGGAGGTCGGATGTTACAACTAGTTGTGGTTATAGACCTGTCCGATAGTTCAAGATATAGTGCCTTCTTTTGTTTTATGTCCTACATGATTTTTACAAACTGAGTTTCAGGACTGCTGGAAAATGAAATCTCTCACAAATTAGTACTCATCATATCATTCTCGCTAATACAAAAAAGTGAGATGTTGAAGTTATATCCAAAACAGTTTTCCATCACATAAAAAGTTACTACTAACGAAATTAAAAATCAACTGAATGTTAAATATGAAATAGGGGGATAACTAAACTAGATATTTTTTGACCAGGATAGCTTTCACAAAGCAGTGATAGCACCTAGAAAACAGGAATCAGTGAACAGCTATTCTATCTTGGGGCAAACGGGGATTTCAAATGCGTTACATACGCATACTCACCACAATACGATAAACAAGTGGGTCAGTGACTGAATTCAATAACGATCTAACCACCACCTAGCTGTGTCCAGTTTTTTAATACAAATAAACGTCTAGCTACTACTATCAACATGTGCTGCCGTTTTAAGTTCATTTTACTTTCACCATTTAGTATGATTCATATTAGTTTTTGGACCATTTGAATATTTTAAATGTTTTCGGCTTTTCACTGAGGTTATAGTGTATCGAAATGGGTCACTAGTACCATTACGTTCACCTAAGTTTTCTTATGTGGACGCGAAAATTTTGGTACACGAGAGCCATTTTAGTGCGACTTTTTATCGGAGACACAATTGTTTTCTTCTATCAATTGCATTATTTGGGCGAAAATCAGAGACTATAAAAGAGAGGATTGCGAATAAATGTGGGCTTGTTTTGATTCTTCGGTTTTGATCAAACAATTCAACTACATAGAGTTAGTGTGATGGTAGTCGAGTTCCAATTAGCAAGCATATTCTTCCTTACAAATTAATCCTATCTGTGCACATAAGAGACATAATTAGTTGCTTATCTTTCCGGAACTTCGCAGCGATCGTACGCAGCAAGTTAGTCCAAGTGAGAAAAGTACTTGAGTTTTTCATTCATGCCATAGAAACAAGGTAAACTCAGTCAATGAAATACGTTTTGTTTGGTAAACCCTATTTGACACCACCCGTTTTACACTGAGGAAGATGCAAACTTGGTTTCTTCGTGAAAAAAACTAGTTTAAATCCCTAGTTGACACCCAGTCTGATAAAAAGCAAACTATACAAATTAACAGATATACGTGGTCTTGTTCAAGGAAAACTATCTAATGGAACACTTTAAACACAACTAATTATTAGTCTGAAAGCGGCTGTAAGCTGATAATCTATCTGGCACCATAGGAACTCAATTTACAAATGTTTTAGTTAGCATAAATCGATGTGAAGTAACAGGGCTGGCTACTGAGAGCAGATGCATTAGGATTTAACCAGTAATCCAAACCAGTGTTCCCTTGACTATATTCGTTTTCAGTTCCATACGAGTAAAAGGTGGTGGTAAACAGACCAAGACAATATAGAAGATCGAACGAAACAAATATCGACAGTTAAGATGAATACGAATACAAAGAAGAACAATACATGAATCACTTTAAAAGACATCACAACTAATTTGTGTACAGCTATCCTATGAATGATTAGTACGAACTAGCACGAAGCAAAAATACATTAACAAAATGCCGAGCAAATATCCTGCTGCATTCAAAACGAGTTACAATGACAAACTAGTACAATTGTGTGAAGTTGAGTGTCAAGAACTACAGTTGCAACATAACTCGAAGTTGTCAATAGTACAAATTGGTTTCGACTCATGAAACTACAAATAATAAGTCAATACAGAGTTGCAAAATCTGTGATACCGTACTAGCTATCAAAAGTAAGTGATGCGAAGTGCTGAAGACTAAACGAAGTTTGGTCAACTAATATGGTGTTTTAAATGAAAATAAAAGCAACCCATAAACTACCTGCAGAGTGAAGTGATGACATGCGAATCAAACCAACTTTGAGGGAAAATGGTAATACATAGTCATATAAAATCCCAACACATGGATAGAAACGAAAATCAGACATTCACATATTTGCCTTAACACCCTGCCTACAAATAAGTTGGGGACAAAGGCATGACCTGAAACGACGAATACGATGGATAATAACATATCGTAATGTTGTTTGTTTATGATAGTACTTAAGAAAATAAATTAATCACACTACAGAGATGCAGGATCAATACTATTTCTTCATCTTTAAACAGATTGACTGGTCCTTGAATCTTACCACCTATTTGTAAACGTAATAAAGCCAAATGTATGATTTTTGACAAAGACAATTCGAACACAATAATCATTAGCCCTTATTACTCTGTAAAAACTTTACTCTTGGGGCTCAAAATAAACTAACTTGGCTGTGAACATGCAGTGGGGCACGGGTTTCTAAGATGGTAAGTGTATCCAGAATTCCGCTGACAAAATCCGTAGTGTTGTAGGTGCCAAGCATCTCAATCAAGCAACGACGTATCTAAGAGGATACATTACATATTGATGCATACCTTTTCCGCGACAGAAGAATTATGGTGCATATGCTTCCCCAAATGCAGTAATTTCAGCTTCGTATCCATGTCTGTCGACAAGTTGTTAAGTAATTTACATAGAATGGGACAAAGACTTCCAGCGAAGACACTAAAAACTTGCCAAAAATGTAGCACAGCGTACCTAGATATAGGCGCAATTGTATGACAAGCCCATACAGCTGCATCTGACTCGACTTCATAATGTGATTCAATCTGCTTCAATATAGCATGATGAACACCAAGATGTTCACGAGTTATCTCGTGCAGAATTCCAAACAACCTGAAGAAACTCCAAACATCGAGCGCAAATTACCGTAAAGTTAGGGCGCGAACAGTTGGGTCGTTACTTTCAGTAAAAGGAAGCAATTTGCGTATAATATCTTCACACACAGTTAGTTTTTTAAAGTGAATCCGACACTCAGTGCATGCACGCAAAATACAAAGGCGTAAATAGTTATTTCTAAAGACATATGCTGAAGTAAGGTCTTACCCATTACAGAAAATCTGTGTGATTTTTAGTAGTATCGAATTAATGACGACGGGAAATGGATATTTTTCAAGAACAGAAGGAAACTGTGCAATTGTTTTGCACTGGATCCCAATATTTGTTGACTGGAAACCTAAAAACAAGTAAAACAGTAGTTTATATTGCAAAACCTTTGTTTAGCTCCATTATTAAAACATTGGCATCCTTTCCTAAATCGCTCTCACCAAGCCCTTGACTGTCGAAGGTCATCTTAAGCAATTGAAATGAGCGCTTTCGTTTTACAGTCTTCCGTTAATATGATAAAAAGTTGGTCACCGTGACTCAAACAGCTATTGTCGAAATGGAAAAAGCTTTCACTTAACCGACTTCCAGACCTATAAACAATCGATCAAAGTTTTTTGGTGGTTGTTGACCTGTGTATCAGTGAAAACACAGCAAACCAGATTGAGATTTCATAATTTCGTTTCAAACATCAAACTTCGTGTTGTGCACTTAATGAACGACGCTTTCCTGAGTTCTGCAACTTTCTTAATGGAATACGTTCTTGGATTTGAACTGTCACAGTTGTCTTTCTGGTTCCGAAAAACTTGAAGTGATATCAAACATGAAACATCAATGGTGTGAGTAGAGGAAACTTGTAATTTTTGAGCCCTCACTTCTCGATCTTGAGGCTTGGTTATTTTCGTCTGGCTATACTCACTCTGTGGTGACAGAAGTTTTTACGTTTTTGTTGCTTTTAGCTTTGGAGGTAGTGACTATCTATTTAAGGGCATTGCTTCATGCAAATTGTAGTTTGGTTTGTTCTGGGGAAACGGAGCTGTTGATGTGATCAGTTAACCTTTTTTGGTTCCTCTTTTGAAAGCACCCGCAGGTAAGTCTGAAGCGCTATTTCAAACTTACTGGGAATAGAGTGAGTGGGGAATGAGAAGAACGGGGGTGAAAAGTACTTGTGGACACAAGAGTTGAGGAATGCAGGGGGTAAGAGTCATCCTCACTTGTTGCTGGCCTATATTCACGATGACCCGTTTTCATTCATGCACTTATCTAGTAGTCGTTTGAAGGAGTCAACTGGTGTAGCCATGGCAGGGTGCTCAGCAAGGCAAACGCTGTGTTCGAGAGGTTTGGTTTCACTCTTTTCTTTGTCCTGTAGTGGGGTTGCCGCGACACTGTCACCTTGGGGCTGATAATGTTGACAGTGATAATGGAAAAGTAGTGAGTCTGCTCTCCATGGGCGGTGTCTCACCCCCTGATCTGCAAATGAAGGAAAGCTCTGAAAGTACAGTTAATCGGTACCACAAGACTCTAAATGCACATCTAACCTCATTCCTAAAGTATCAGGGGGGCTGTGACAGCTCCTGTGGGAAAGGGATTCCACAGTTTACGTACCTCAACTCCCAGCTAGTTAGAACGTTTCTCTACACGTGCTGTCTTAGACTCTACCGTTAACGGGTGCTCCCCCCCAAGGTGGCGTTCCTGATTAAATCTCAGTAAAAATCCTCTAGGATGAAGGAGGTCATGGGCAGTGTGGTATATCATGACCGTATCCAATCCGGTTCTCCGGCATCGCGCCGGCTACGTCTTAAGAGCAGCTAAGCGACCCAGGTGTGATTCGTACAGTAACCCAGCTTCCTTCTTCATGGCTCTTTCCTGAACCCGCTCTAGAGTGACTATTTCCCTCTTCGGGTATGAAGACATCATGAGGGACTCTTTTCCGAGATGAGGAAGAATATGACGTCCGCACGTGGCGACAAAAAGTGTCGGCATTAGGCTCCCTAAAATTCGTGGAAGAAACCCTAGGGCTCCACAGGCCGTTTTGACTGCAAGCCAACAACTGGCTGAAGCTCCAAATGTGTCACTCAAAGCAACTCCCAGATTCCTTCCCCTGTTTGTGTGACAGATATTTATTTCACCCAAAGAATAAGAAATTGAAAATTTTTTGCGTTTGTTAACAATCATCATCCTACACCTTTCTGTTCCGACAGGAAGCGGGTTCTGTGTAGTCCAACTTGGGATTGTGACAAAGTCCCCCTAGATGACCGAAGCATCCATCGGTTTCTGCATTGCTCTTCACATCTTCAGATCACGGGTATATAATAGCCAATTAGAATTGGGGGATCCTAGCAGATCAATGGTAAGTGTAAGAAACAATTGTGGACCGTGAGGCACACCAGTTAGCATCGGAACCGATCGTATCAGTTGGAGCCGACTATGACCGGCTGCAACCTAGTATAAGGATAATCTCCAAGCCAACTGAGTAACTTCGTGCGTGCATCCTCGGCCGAATTTTCCTGCGCACACAATTTACCCTGTCAAAGGCCTTAGAAAAGTCAATTGAGTCAACATGAATGGGCTTTTTCCGCTCGATAGAGAAGGTCCAGCTATTCCGAGCAATCGACAGACTGGCGTCACATAACCTTGCAGGTGAAGATCTGTGTCGAAAGTCATTTGAGATTGAATTCTTAGGTAAGTAATCACGAAATAAGTCATACGCTGTTCTTTCTATAAGCTTGGCAACTGAAGAGGTCAGGGAAGTTTGTCTACAGCTAGGGTTAGTTGGTTTGTTTCCACCTTCAAGTTCGAGGGCGAGAGCTATGCGTTTACAATGAGAGGGCAACCCTCCTTCCAGAAACGAGTAACTGAACGGGGCTTCTGGTGGGTTACTAAGAGCATCAGCATGCTATCTGAGTACTCACGGGTGAACGCCATCAAGTCCTGAGGACTTAGTTGCATTTAGCTTCCCGTAAAACCCCTTTCCTAATTTTGAACTGAGCCTGCTTCAATACACCTCTTATAAGCCATGAATAATGGTATCTAATGTATAGCTTAACACTGTACATTAGAGTCATTTCTCATTACCACAATGATCAGGCCTGTAAACTGGTTTGTGTTCATGCAGCCTATGTTGTATGAAATATATATATATATATATATATATATATATAAATTATGATCATCATAATACGGCTGCCTGAAAGATGTGTGGTTGCCCCGTCCAAACCGACAGAAGTTGTTTCAGAATTCCTCAGCCATTACGTCCGCTACCCCAGAGTTGCCGCGTCTAATCTCTTAACTACCGGGGTCCTGTATACTAAGTGGGACGTTACTGTTCCCTCTCGCCGGCGAGAACAATGCTTCCTGGTTCCCTTCAACCTTCACGAGGATGTCTGACAGTTTACCTTGTCGTTTCTGATTTTTATCGTACACTTCTTATGGATGTCTCAGTAGTCCTGTCAGTCATTTGGATCTGTTAGTGATCCTCTGTTGATTCCATGACGACCGTTTACACCGTATAAGCTTACGCGTGCTTGGCTTGAGCCAACAAGAGTAAAACATATTGGTTCTAAGCGGACCCACAGGAATTTTACTTTTCTCTTTTGAAGGGCTATGTCCTTCAACAGACTTCGCCTGGAGTCCAGATCAAGTGGGTCATCGCGACTTGAACACGTGGAACCTACCACACCTTTTGAAAATCAGTCTTCCTATAATTCCTGACAAATGGCTGACCAGAGGTAGGTGACTGGAACTTAGAAGTGGTGAAGGAAACAAGCAGACGCTCACTCAGTCCATGAAGGCTAAGAACGTTTAAGTCGGTTGCCCTGATTAACTGATTGGTAAAAAATATGATCAAGTCGGGATGCCTCACAGTCAGACCTTGACTGAGCACACTGAGGAACATGTTCAGTCAAAAATTTTTCAAGAAACAACCCCCGAAATTCTCAGATGCGCTTTCAGTGGTGGAGAGCTATGGAAATTTAAAATCTACCATGATGTAAACCTGCGGAAAGTTCAAATGGAGAGCTCCTCCACTGGATCGTATCATCTTATTTAAGATGGCGGTGGCCCCAGGAGGACAGTGTGAAATTCCGACCAAACAGGGACCTCCGCGGCACCTAATGTTGCATCGGAGTACACCTTTAGTTCTTGTTTACTGGGTGAAAGTCTCATAGACCTTCAAAGAAGGACATGTGGAAAGAGAGACGTCCCCTCCTGATCCCTCTGATTTACTCCCCTGTATTGCGTTGGGCCGTCCTACATGAATGTCCCCATCTTATGTGCCCCTCGTGATCCATGCTCCACAGAAAGCCATCATGTAAGGACTGTCCTCATCAGCCAACAACCTTAAATCAAGCATCTTGGAGTGCACACTATGTGTATTGCTGTAGATACTGTGATAGGAAACTGTGAGCCCGTATCAATCCTTTTCAGTAGGCTTCTGCGCTTGCCCAGTCCTCTTTTGAGCAAGTCAGTCGATGGCGCGGGCAACGCCCAGTCTTGGAGTCGGCTGCAGTTGATTACCCGAAGCGAGAACTAGTACTCTAAGCGGACTGCATTCGTCCTCTGCCTTGTATTCCTGCACGTCCTCTGAATTGCCCCTCTTATTCCTTTCCAAAGGGTCTGAATCACCTACCGGACATGAATTTGTCGTCCGAGTGCAGTTTTATTGCTTGAGCCTGACTAAGGACGTGCTTAAGACGGTAAACATGACATTATTTTTTAATGGACGTTCTGTGTAGTGCCCAAGGTGTCCCAAAACTCCTAGCTGCGGCCGACTGAAAATGAGCTATGGTATTCAGCTCATACGTGTTTGAATACGTGGGTCATCGAGGGTCAGTCCTGGGGGTGCAGGAACTGCGCCGTTATAATAGGTGCTGCCACCGTGTCCCCTATGTGTGCGCTCGCACAGTTACCTGCGTTGGCGGGTATCAATCGTTTCTCTGACCAGCTAAACAAGTTGTTTAGGTTCATGTGAAGTGCACGGACATTCTCATAGTCCCCAATTTCTTGCCAGACTTTTTACCATCAACGTTGAGAACTACAGGGTATTTTTTGATATCCGAAGGCCCATTTTTATGTAGGAGACCTATAATTATGTCTTGCGACACTCTACTCTCTACCGGCTTCCAATAGATGAGTTGGGAACCGATCCTTACTTTGTCTCCTACCAAAAAGGAACTCACTGATCCATAAGAGTAGATTACTGGTGGTTCCAAAACTTTCCGGTCTCCCGAACAACCTGGAATGAGGTATGTTGTCTGACTCCTTAATGAAGTCCATGAAAAAGACATCCGCAGGTATCATTTCATCTTTAGACTTAGCCCAACTTTCTCTGACTGCGAAGAAGTTCGTCAGACAAGGGAAATTTCTGCGAAAGCCATGCTGTGGACGAGACAATACAGTGTTGCTCTCGAAGTGAACTGTAATAGCTTTCTCAGCTACTTTTCCCGGGATTCTTTTCACAGTAGTAGTCAAATTTGCCTACCTGT